GAAAATCAATCTAAATTGCCGGCACGGGACTAGGATGTGATTCATGGGACATTGGTTTGGTATACTTCATAGTCTTTGGTTCAAATTCAAAAAGTAATATTCAAAAAAGAGTGAAATTTGAAAAGAAAAAAGATTATGTAGATTAGGAAAAATTTAGGGTTGGCTTGAAAATGGTTAGACAATTTATAATGTATGTCTTTAGCTTTAACTTGTAATAACCAGGCACGAAAGGTGAAGCACATATAAATCATTGTTTATACTTTGCCTCACCCCTTACGCAAAACCTTTGCTTGCTTCACCTACCTTATTTTCCTTTTTTGATCCAGTCCAGACGTCCTCTCCTTAAAGCCTAGAAATTGCGGAAGATTTTCACATGCTTCTTCTGTTCCATGGAGTCAAATTTTCAATATATATATATACATGCCTTTGTCAATCGGCTCAGTCCCGTTCTCCTGGACTCTATGGCCAAGAAAATTGATGTCATCTACTGTACAATCTAATTAACCGGTTCCGAAAAAAGTAAAACAACAAAAGTTAAATGATCTCATTCATTGGATTAGATCAAATAATAAGTGACCTTAATTTTCTTAAACCATAAGATTCAGGAGAACGAGATTGATATGTGATGTCCTTGTTACATTGGTCAAAAGAAGGTAGAACACTCAAACCCCAAATATTCCAGGGTTAATACGGCTTGTCTATCCCATAAAAATTGTTTCAAACGTTTACGTGTTTGTCTTTAGTTAAATAGAGATATTTAGTACAAACATTTTATTTAGCAAGTGTGCAAAACTCCATCAAATCACACCTTATTAATTAATTAGTACAAAGCATACTCAAAACCCAGGTGTAAGGCCAAGTAGAATCATCGTGTTATCGGAGTAATGTTGTGTTCCATGCATGTCTAGGCAGTTTAGGCAATAATGAAAGAAGAACCCTAAACAAAACATGTTTTAATTTGTACGGACATGCATGGACCTGAAATAGAGCATGCCTTCCATGGCATCATTCGTAAATTTGAGCTCATTAGATTCGATATATATATATATATATATATATATAACATATAGAACATGTTTTTTATTTTTGTTTTTTCCTTAATCTGAATGATAAAATCAAAAATCAGATTTTCACCTCTGCATTTTCTAATAAGGATGCAGACAAAAATATTGGTTAGGTTTGTTTATTTCTTTTTATTTTCTGTTTGCTAGGCAAGGTTTGGGTTTAAGATTTTCCTCATTCTCTCAATAAGTCCTATTTTTATGATGCTTTGGAAAATATGATTTAAAAACTGGCAAACCCAAAATTGAATCTCTAGATGTTCAAGCAGACCTACCAATTGATTAAAAACTAGCTGCCATTTAAAATTGTACAAAAATAATGGAGTAATTTTGGCAATTGAAAAACTAAGACAAACACATCCTAAAATTGTATAACATTAATATCAATTATCAAGTACATTTAGGGCCTGTTTGGTGTTTTTTTTTTATTTACCCAACACTATTTTACTTTAATGTTAAGCAAGTGCTTGGTACGTAATGTTTATTTTAAAAGCAATGATCTTCAGACAATCATCTTTTAAAGCAACCTACATGTTGCTTTTAAAAGTTGTTTTGATAAAAAATGGAGCTAAGCCTTTCTAAATACTTTCAATTCTTATAATACTGTTCATTTTTGAAAATGACATTGTGTAATTTTCTACATACATTTTCCCTCTTGTAGAACAATGTGACCGTCGCTATTTACCACTATAACCACTAACCTTACATCAACATTGCCATTACCACCACCATCATTGCCGCTACTACTACCACCACAATCGTCACCACCACCACCACTAGCACCACAACCATAACTTCCATTACCACCACCATCATTGTTGTCACTGTCCCCAACCACAGCCACCACCACCACCACTACCGCAACCACAACCACAATTGCCACCACTGTCAACTTAACCACAACTACCATTGACACCATCTGCACCCCAATCACCACACGCCACTATTCGCATCACTATTGTACCCTTACTATTGTTGCTGTCACCACCATCACCATCTCTGGCCCCACAGCCACAGCCACAGCTGTCGCCACCACCTATGACTGCAACCACCAACCTTACACCACTGTTTCCATCACCATCACCATCATTGCCACTGCCACCACCAACAACGCTGCAATCGCCACCACTACTGCTGCCACAACCGTTACCTTTGCACCCAACCACCACACCCTATTAGTGGCACCACCACCACATATTCACCATTGACGTTGCCATCACCGCCACTACCCCTACGACTATTGTCGTTGCCGCCACCCCTAATATGTCTATTTTTTGTTATTATATACAATTATACCACTTTTACATCATGATATACCAAATGTTTTTGCACTGTTTTTCATACTTATAACACTTTTAAGAATACAGTTTATCAAACTCTCAACTACTTTATTTTACAGCTGATTATTCTTAAAATACAACATAAGTAGTTTTTTGAAAAGAAAAAAAACACAACAATACCAAACCAACTTTAAGCTACCGACTAATCAAATGTACTTAATTTTACAAGTTATCTTTTTTACACAAACAATGGGATCTTTACCTTCCAAAAACAATGGGATCTTTACAAAATAAATTTACAACTAGTTTCAACACCCACACTAAAATTACATACGTTGTCACAATTGAACTTGTCATAATTAAAACTTCAACTGATAAACATTATATGGTTCTCGTATCTACGAAGCCTATCGCCCTTGTATCTATGAAGTTAAACTTAAGATTAACTCGAACAAAATAAAGACAACTACCAATAAATCTACCGTGTATATCGCCCTTGTATCTACAAAGGTGAATGAGGGCAATGGGGTGTGGACAAAATGAAGGGTATTACGGTAAAAATGGGGGAACATACGAAGGCTCGCCTTCTTAAGGTTAGGTCACATGATTGCTCGTGGCCAAAAATGGTCAGGTGGATATCAGACGTTGTTGACTTAATATTTCGACACGTAGCGTTTTTCGGGTCCTCTGCATTGAGTGCCCCAGTTTGCCAGCCATTTTAAGGTTTTCTCCCATTTCGCTCGCTTTTCTCCTATTGGTCTGTCTCTCTCCCAGTCACCACCTCCCCTCTCACGTGCCAAAATCCTCCTCCCTCTTAATACGTATTTTAAGTGTAAACTTAATATAAGTTTAATTTTGTGAATTATTATTGCATTTAGTTGGGCTACTTAATATTATGGTCTAATAGTATTCCTCTTCATTTGTTAGTGAAAGGTCTTAGGTTCGATTCTCGTCAAAAGAGAAATTGAACCGCATTATTGATACCTCATTGTAAGACTTAGCCCACTTTTCCACCTCCTTAGTGTAAATAATATCGTTTGTTCAAAAAAAAAAAAAACACATCAACTGTTTTTTATTATCTTTTTATTAGATTGTTTTTTTCTAGCTTTTTATTAGATTGTGATAAATGTCATTGAACTATTTTCATGGATGATAGGTAGATTAATTTTTATTTATTTTTGTAGATACCTTTATCACATGTTAAATGTATTTTATCAACATATTGTATATGTATCATATATGTCATATGAATTTTCTTTTAACTATTTTCATGAAAGTGGTTATATCTAAACTACATATTAACAGAACCCTCTTTATCAACCAAAAGATGATGAAAAAACTATTTTATCTTCTATCATAACAAAAAAGTTAAGAACAGTAACGTAATTTCACAAAGCAAAATTTTGTTGTTCTTTATTTAAGCCTCATCTACATGCGATTTCTCATATTTAAAAAATAAAAAATAAAAAAAAATAAACTTCTCTCTCTCTCTTCCACTCTCACGTTCTCTCTCACTCTCTTCCTCTCTCATTCAATTGTATGCGGACATATACTAGTTTAAATTTTGAGTAAAGATGCATAAATCAAGAAATTTAATTAAATTTAAAAAATAGAAAAACTGGACTAAATCTAACAACATCTCAAATTTTTGGTCTTGAATCAAAGTACCCATTCTAAATTATAACACTTGTGATTTTTTTTAATTAAATAAACTTTAAAAATCGGACATACCAATATTGCAAAAGGAGAACATATAAAGGATGAGTTCATTACCATGATGACGTTCTAATCCAATATTGTGTAAGTTTATCTTCACATACATGACATTCCATTATTAAAACTAGATGTTACATAAATAGCGGTGAATTCATTTCATGTTAATTGTTCTCATATCGTACGTAGTAATATAATGTTTCGGTGTACATAAAAATTTATACACTTAATCGTCGGATTCCACCTCTCTCTCAGAGTCACCATTTAATTAGTTGAACTATTAATTTGATTCCTTCTGCTCAATTACTGTCTTATCATTGTTAACCCAATTAGAGTGAGAAATAGAAGGCGAGAGAGAGCGAGAGACTGAGATTATTGAAGATGGTAATAAGTTGAGCTCATAACTATGAAAATACATAGAATTATGTAGAAATAGGAAAATTAGAAAAATAAAACTATATATAAAAAGCAAAAGAGGAAGCTTTTTGCACCCATTGTTGTTGTAGTTGTTTTTGCTAGAGAGAGAGAGAGTCAGATAATTTGATTGGGGAATAGATAAGGAATTCTAGAGAGAGAGAGAGAGAGAGAGAGAGAGAGAAGGAGAGATGGGAAGAGGGAGGGTGGAATTGAAGAGGATAGAGAACAAGATCAACAGACAGGTGACCTTTGCGAAGAGAAGGAACGGACTTTTGAAGAAAGCCTACGAGCTTTCCGTTCTTTGCGATGCCGAGGTTGCTCTCATCATCTTCTCCAATAGAGGAAAGCTGTACGAGTTTTGCAGTAGTTCAAGGTTCTCTCTCTTTTTTTTTTTTAGTTATTTCACCGAAACAACTAAACCCCCGCTTTTTCCCTCCCTCCATTTCTATACCATTTCGGCTATCGCAATTTCTCCCACACGCATACATATATACACTCTCTTTCTCTCTTATTCCTACAAAACTTATTAATTAACTATTTATTTATTTGATTTAATTTCAATTGCTTGTTTTTTTGTTTGTTTCTTCTTCTATGATTTCTGGAGTGCTTTTTTGGATCTCCAAGGCGTTTGCTTGTGTGAACATTTTTTGCTGTTTTCAGTTTTCTCTTGCTGAATCATGAATCTTCATCATCAGGAGCAGCGCTTTGACAAAAGCTCCCTCGTGAAGTTTTTTTTTTTTGGTTTAAAAATTTAAAAATGTCGCCTTTTGTGTTAAATTGTTGAAATTTGATGACTTTTAGCGGCGGTTTTTTTGTTGCCGTTTTGGTGAATGTCTCGGTGTTTTTAGCAGGTTGAGTGTTTCTGCTTCGGCATTGCTGTTAGATCTGCAACAGGAAATAAAGATAAACCCCATCAAAAGAAGATCTCTCATTTCTCATCACTCACTGTTTTTTTTTCACTGCTCTCCATCGATTAAATCCTAGCTAGCTCTCTCTATGCTTTAACCTCTGTGAACTGGGTTTTCCCGAAGCCCTTGCCTATTTCCTTTTCTTAATTCTCTCTCTCTCTCTCTCTCTCTCTCTCTCTCTCTCTCTCTCTCTCTATATGTGCCTTAACTTCTGTGAACTGGGTTTTCCCGAAGCCCTTGCCTTTTTCCTCTTCTTAATTTGCTCACCCTAGCTTTAGCTTCACTCAATCATCCCATTTTTCTTTTATTTTTTTCGTGATTTTTTTTTTTTTATCATAAGAGCCATCTGATCGATCCAAAAGCCTTTGGATCAGCATTTGAAGCTTTCTGATCAGCCAGTTTAGTTAATTAGTATCAGGTTTTCGACTCCGTTTTGTTCTTCACCAGGCCCTCTCTTCTCTCTCCAAAAACCTAGCTGCTTAATGCCTAGCTAGGGTTTTGTTTTACCAAATTCCCTTCTTTTTTTTTCTATTAACAAATTGTTATACTTTGGGGAATTTTCAACTTAATTAACTATTCTATTTCAGGTCTCAGCTGGTTCTCATCTCTGTTCTTACACTGAAAATTTAGGGCGAGAAATCTTTCTATTTAAAAAAAATTAAATTGAGTTTCCTGGAAATATTAATCCAAAAGCAAGAACTTAATTACCCGGTTTTTCCAGTTCCTCATTTGGGTACATTAAATATACAAGATTTCCCTTGTTTTCCACTGGATTAATTTCTTCCTCTCTCTGAAAGACAGATGGTTTTCAATCACATTTTGACATCGGGTAATTAGTACTAAATATCTGCAATTTCTGCCTTGGATCTGACTTTACGTCAAAACTAACTTCTGAATTTTCGACTTGCTTAATTATTACCAGTGCTCTATCTTATCTCAGTAAAATATCTCTTTGTACTTGCACGTATTTTTAGGGCTTAATATTTTCTCGTATACTGTATTAATTATAAGTTCATTATTTAAGTTTAATTTCTATGAGATTGGCTTGATTTTGTCCCTTTTTTCAATTTTTGATTTTTGTTTTTTGGTTTCTCAAATGCATGGTAATGTAAAACCTTCTTAGATCTTGTAGTACCAACTAAATAATAAAGTGTTTGTCTTAATTACGTAATTATTGAAATGTTTTAAGTAAATTTGTACATTATGTTAGATAATATGAAATATGTAAGCTTGAGAAGTAGAGCTTTATAAGCAATATTTACTTATTTATTGTATAAGGTTTAAAGGTATTAAAAGTAGGCTCTCCATAAACATTCATCTTATTCAGCTAACGATAAATTTTCAGGGTAAGACTAAATTCACATCTTAATCTTTTGAATAATCCTATAGAGTCTTGTATATGGGCGAGGAATTTCCCACTTGCTTTTGCTAATTATATGTTTTCCTACACAAAGTGAAGTAGTGACGTTCTAGGATTCATGCAACCGACCCTACTTAGTTGAATGAGGCATTGTTGTTGGTGTTATATGTTTTCCTACACGCATACAAATATAATTACCTGGCTTGTGGTCCATCAATTCATATTTTGTTTGATTTATGCCCTTCAAATAATGTATCAAGGAAAGGCTAATTTGCATGTGTGTTTATGTTGTTGTACAGCATGCTCAAAACTCTTGACAGGTACCAGAAGTGCAACTATGGAGTACCGGAGACAAATGTATCTACAAGGGAGGCCTTGGTAATACATTCAACTCAGTTAATTAGTTTAGATGAAGTTTCTTGCTTGTTACCCTACGTAACAAGGAATATTGAGGGGATACAAAAGAAACCAAACTACTGGCAAGAGAACATTGCATCATGACAAGGATTAATTTCAAACCTATGGATATATAGAATGTTATCAAGAGAGTACAAATGAAAATTGATACTATTTATTAGTGGTTTTTTACTTTTCAAGTAAGATCTTATTGGTACTAACTGTATATGCGTTGTTGGCCTATTGACTAATAACAGCTTGGGAGTTGTTTGATAATCATTTCATTTATAGGTTTTAGTTTTCAAAAATTGAAAACGAAATGATTATCATACGACCCTTAGTTTTTGAAGTCTAGTAATATTGTCTAACATGAATTTTGAGTTATAAATGGTTCTATGGAGTCCATATTGAGTTCGAAACTTCTAAACGGCACCCATCCCAGACCTCAGTACTTTGTTAACCGATAAGGTGGCACTGCACTTATATGTTATTTACATTTGTCTACCTCTTCTCATGTAAGATAGATGCACGTAAAGGAGGGTGTTAATTGATATACATAGTTGACTCATTTTCTAATTAGGGGTTTGGTTATTTTCTAACTACTACTTGTTTCTCTCTCCCTATCTTATTGTTATTTCATAGCTTGATGTTAGTAAAAGACAGTCCCAACATTTTTCTCTGTATCAATGTATTTACTTATACAAATACTTCACTGTTTGCGATTCAAAGAAGCTTAACTTTTTTTCTTGCTATTAAAGAATCTTAGTGTAGGTATTAGACCAAAAATCTGATTAAGGTATGTTGTAGGAGAGGTTTTAGATCAAATATATGTATGACAACCTCCTAATTCATATATCTGTATATCTTTATATTGTTTATCTTTGACCTGAATACATCCTACTTCTCCTGGACCATATGCAGGAATTGAGTAGCCAGCAGGAGTATTTGAAGCTCAAGGCACATTTTGAAGCCCTACAACGAAACCAAAGGTTATTGTCTTTCCGACCTTCAGTTATATAAACGTTAAAGGCTAAAAATTAGGTTTACTAAGTACTAACTTTCTTGTTACTACCTTAGGAATCTCCTTGGAGAAGATCTTGGCCATTTAAGCAGCAAAGAGCTTGAATCACTTGAAAGGCAGCTGGACATATCGCTGAAGCAGATCAGATCGACACGGGTACCTTACCTCATCACCACCTTACAGTTTAAACTGATTTAACATATAGTCTTTTTCTCAATGATTCCTTGAACATTTGGCTGTTTCAAGGTTTTTATTATTGTGCGCTAGATTTTCATGTATTGTCAGGTACTCCATAAATTACTGTTCTAACTTTTTGTGATATGTGACACTGCTTGCATCATGTTGTATTTTGAAAACTATGAAGTGAATGAGACGTGTGCATAAAATCCATGAAAAATCATCCTTTATTGCTAAAAAAAAGAAAGAAAAAAAAAAAGTTACCTAGTGTATATAGAGACTGGGAATCCAAAACCAAGAACACGAAACAGATTTTCCGATTTGGCTCCAAGTGAAGCATGAATGACTTAAACTGATATATCTTGGTATTCTTATGTTACAGACCCAATGCATGCTGGATAAGCTCACAGACCTTCAGCGAAATGTATGAGAACACATATATCCTTATGTATATTCATTTGAGTTTACTCTTCCCATCTTAGCCAACTGAAAGTTTTTGTGCTTTTCGCAATGCATATTCTCCTCATCCTGTACATTTATTTATTTATGGTTTTGATTTTTGCACAGGAACACGTGCTAAACGAAGCAAACAAGACACTGAAACAAAGGGTAGGCAAACGACAATAATTTTCAGCAATTTGGTTTTGAAAGATTATGAATAACTTTCAGCAATTCCGAGTTGCAGGGCGGGGTAATTAAGTTGATTTTGTTTTCAGACGTTGCATGTACCTGACTTTTTGGGTGATCATGCTTTGCAGTTGTTTGAGGGATACCATGTAAATTCACTGCAACTGAATGCAAATGCCGACGAGTACGGCCACCAACAAGCTGCCGACGAGTACGGCCGCCAACAAGCTCAGGCGGCGCAGGGCGATGGCTTCTTCCATCCCTTAGACTGCGAGCCCACTTTACAGATTGGGTATGTACTTGTACTGCATTTTTATAATATAAATAAACTCCCTAAGTTACATAATTAAGGAAACCATTTTGGCCTCCAAACCTGATTAAGTTTATAAAAATCTCCTCTTGTATGAACCAAGAAGGTGGATGCCAAGAAAATACAAGTATTTTTTTAATTATTATATATGCAGGTCTGGGTTTTTTGGATTTAATTAGCGTCTACGCTAAACCCAGTTAATTAGCATTGTAGTTAAGGTGAACATGACTACAACTGGGGGTTTAGGGTTTGAATTAGGCAACTAATGGACCTTTTACACACCTAATTTTGTACAACTAATGTCAGCGACTATTGTACATTTAAGATCCAGATTATGGATAATATTCTCTCTCTGGGGTTTAGGGTTTGAATTAGGCAACTAATGGGCCTTTTACGCACCCAATTTTGTACAACTAATGTCAATGACTATTGTACGTTTAAGATCCAAATTATGGATAATATATTCTCTCTCTCTCTCTCTCTCTCTCTCTCTCTTTGTGGGTTGGGTTGAGTCATCTTTCTAATTGAATTAATATATCTGTAAAATTTTTGCAGATATCAGAATGATCCAATATCCGTGGTGACAGCAGGTCCAAGCGTGAGTAATTACATGGGAGGATGGTTGCCATGATAATAAGTGTATGCATGCATGCATGGTCATCAACAACAGCAGCAGCACCTAGCCATGCATGGTATTTACAATTAATATTGATAAGCAAGATACAATTTATGCATGTCTGTTTTTTATGTTTGACTTTTATTTGACCAAAACGGATCAACGATGATGATCAATTCTCTGTAATTGTATGGATTTATGCCATAATTAACTCTGGACCTTTAAGAGTTGCCAACAATTGTGCGCGCGTGCCTTTTTTTCTTAGCTTGACTTCCTTTGGAATAATCACTACATATAAAAGTATATCGCTTTGCATATGACAATGAGGTTTCTGTTTGTGTCATATCGTCTGGGCATTTTTTTTTAAGTTGTGCAAGGTTGTCTAACCAATTTGTTCTAGGGGTGTAATCTCGGTCTTTCGGCCGAGTTTTGTTGGTCTTAGCCCTGTTTTTTGGCTCCATAGAGAGAGAAATTTTTAATTGTGATGGGAAGACGAGCGGTAAGTTATTAACTTTTTAACACATATATTTCATCATTTATATAATGACACGTGATGTACCACATCATGTGACGGTTACATAGAAAAATCTCTCCCATAAAGATCGGATCTGCCTCAAATACTTTGGGGCAATCTGCCGATGCTTGGTTTTTTATTCGGTCATTACTGTTGCACGTTGAGGACGCTCAGATATCAAAGATTTGTTACTTTTGGAGGAATTTGACTCTATTAGTATTTATGAGGTAGAAGCGTAGAAGCACAAGAGTTAACTGCGGCCCGGACTGACTGGGCTGGAGAGCCTGACCAAATTTGAGTCCCATGCAGTAGAGCGGCCTCGTACTTCCGCAACGTTTGGGAAAATAGGATTTGGATTTTTTTTTCAAGAAAACGAATGAAAATGGTTTGAAAATTTTTTAGTTTTAATGATAAGGACAAAATAAAGGGTAAAATGAATAGTACCAAAATTGACTTTTTAGTTTTTAGTGTAAAAATATGGTTTTTCGTTAAAGTAAATAGTACCGTTGGCTTTTCGTTAAAACTCCCTTTTTTTTTTTTTTTCAAACTTGAAAAAGATGACGACGTTGCGTGTCAATTTTCTTGGCACGATACAAGGCAAAAAAGATCCAGATTCGAGAGCACAGATTTGGATCCTCGCCGGATCCCCTCTCTTGGGATCCTAGGGATCAAGGAATACGGATGGTTGATCAAAAATCGTGTAGTCATAATTTTTTCCTTTTTTATATTTTTCACGTAAAATGAGGCTTCTTTACTTTTAAAAATATAAAACATTTAATTAGAGCTGCACAATTTTTTATCAACAGTCCGTGTGCTTTGATCCTTAGGATCCCCAGGGAGGGGATCACGCGAGGATCCAAATTCCGAGAGCACAACTTTATGGAAAGGGATTCTCTCTTGGTCCTTTCTTTCTAATTCATCAAATTAGAAAATTTGTACCATTGAAATTTGATCTAATAGTTACAAACAGGAATCCACTTTAAAAGTTATAATAACTTCAGCCGTTTGATCAAATTTCAATGGCACGAATTCTTTAATTTGGTAGATTAAGAAAAAGGGATTCGGAAATGATCTTTTTCCCAACTTTATAGCCACAAATGTCAATCGTTGTATTGACAAAAGGGATATAATTCATAAACAATGGGAAGGTGGATATTGGGAATCTAAGACATAAGGAAGACGTTTCATATCATATCCATATCGAAGATTTGTGAATATATGTGTAGCCAAAGCAAGCGACCATGAAATCTTATCACTTAATCATTGATGTTAATTTAACAATATATGTCTGTTCAGCTAAACAAGAAAAGTTTTAGAAACTATAACTGGTGAAGGGTGGTTCATATTAGCCACCAAATTCACGTGGAAGAAGGAAATAGAACCAAACTCACTCAAAAATTACACTAGAATTTTCTCCTTCAATTATAGATATCGTCGTTGCACCAGGTGAGCCGCTTGAGGCCTCCCACGGCCAAATATGAATCAGGTTCGCTAAACCAACTCTTGGTGGTATCAATTCTACATCAGAAAAATAACGGACTTTGCATGTGTTTATAATAGGTGGACTATTCTCTATATTATCAATTGATTTTATATTAGAAACCCTGCCAACTAATCACATGCAACTATATTTTAGTTATTTTTTATGTTTGGCAAACAATAGGTTTTCGTGTTTATTAATCTATTAGTTTCAATGAATTTTTTAGTTGGAGTTTACTAATTTAAGCAAGCATTGTAATAGTTCTCGTTTTGAGTCTTGACCAAAGAAAAAGGCATTTGCTAGTTGGTAGGTCGTCTAATCTTCTAGGCAATTAGATGATAATTAGGGCAACAATCAAAGTTAATTAAACTACAAGATAAATGCTAAGAAAAATCTTTTAACGTGGAACCCTCTATGAATTTTCTATCATTTTACAATTTAATGTTACTTTTCGTACCAACATTAGAAAACATTTTGCTAAAAGTATGCGGCGGTAGAAAATTAATAGTGAGGCTCATTTTTGAGAAAAAAGAAATGCTAAGAAAATTAAATTTGTAAAAAAATAACGTGAAAATTGATTATTGAATTATTACATAAACGCTCTCGTTTTGTTACCATTTGTCAAACTGCAACTTTTGCCGTCGCTGGACTTTTAATAAAAAGTTTTAAAAAATATTAAAATAATTAATTTGAGATCAGCTACATTCTATGCACTATCTAAATAAATTATTAAGATATTGTATATTAATATAAGCCACCCTTATCATGTGAACGCATTCAAACAAGCTGCTTCTTCTTTTTTGTTTTGTTTAAAATGTATTCAAACGTGACAACCCGAATGATTTCACAGATTCTTGTATTGTGCACATTCTAGTACGATATAAGCTAAAATAATGAATTAGAACAAGCAACATTAGGTAACCACTGCCGGTTATATATATTATTAATATGTATTTTATATATTCATTTACATATAGAATCTTTGAGGGATATGAAATGCCACGTGTATGGGACTGAGGCCTCAATAATGAGAAATTTTTAGTTGTAAGGAGAACACTGATGGTACACTTCGTGTTTTTATGTAAGTGGTGGGAAATTTTATTTTTTAAGTTATTAATCTTTTAACACATATATCCTACAATTTATATAAGGACACGTGATGTATCACCTCGTGTGACAGTCACGTTGAAAAATCTCTCCTCAACAATGGCATCCAATTTTTAAGAGTTTAATAATTTTGTGGATCAACTTCAATGATCTGCCTTCAACCACCACGCAACCCAAATTTGGCACCATTTGGTTTACTAGATTTCTCAAATCATAAGCCAAACACACAAAAATGATAACTCACTCCGAATTCAATTATCGGTTTAGTGATATTCATTTTCACTTATAAGTGAGAGGTATCAAATTCAATTCTTGTAAAAGAAGAATTCAAACCACATTATTACTAGCCCGTTCTGTGGTTAGGTCCACCCCTAAATTCTTTTAGTATAGATAATAGTATTTATTCAAAAAAAAATATATTGTCTCCCTTTCGTGCGCACATTTAATATAAAAATTATGATTTCTACTAAAAAATAAATACGAAAAATAAGTAAACCTTACAAGTTGTTTCATTAGCTCCATGATAAAGTATTATGAGTAAATATTATTCTTTTAATGTAGATAATATCATTTGTTCAAAAAAATATATATCGTCTCCCTTTCGTGCGCACATTAAATATAAAAAATTATGATTTATACTAAAAAATAAATACAAAAAATAAGTAAACCTTACAAGTTGTTTCATTAGCTCCATGATAAAGTATTACCAGTAGATATTAGTGGCGAATTTATAAATTTTTCTTAATACCAAATACCAAAATAAAGCATGTACGTTATCTGCACACCATATCTCAATTTCTTTCCAAGCATTTTGTCCAACCCCGAAATGAACATCAAATAAACATTTCGTATTTTTATACATTTAATGTAAAATTATATTCTTATATTAAATGTATACATTAGAAAGAGAGAGAAGAGTTTGAACGCAGAAATGTAGTGAGGTTTTTTTTGTGTGTTTGGCTTATGATTTGGGAAATAGAATCAAACTCACTTAGAAATTACACAACAGTTTTCTCCATCAACTATATTAGTGCTCGTGAGTATTCTTATTTGAATCCACTCTATATATTATTTGAATCTACTCTATGTATTAATCATGGAATGTTAGTAATTTAATTCATCTATTGTTTAAAATGAGTTTAAGGCCTCGTGCTAGGTAAGGATGAGAATATACATTTAAGGATCACCCCTGGGCGATGTGGGATGTTACAATCCACCCCCCTTAGGGGCCCGACGTCCTCGTCGGCACACACGCAACCAGGGTTAGGCTCTGATACCAAATTGTCACATCCCGACCCGGGGCGGATCACTTCCCCGGCCCGCTCCACCACCGTAGCACGATATTGTCCGCTTTGGGCCCCGACCACGCCCTCACGGTTTTGTTTTTGGGAACTCACACGAGAACTTCCCGATGGATCACCCATCCTGGGAGTGCTCTCGTGCACTACTTGCTTAACTTCGGAGTTCCCATGGAACCCGAAGCCAGTGAGCTCCCAAAAGGCCTCGTGCTAGGTAAGGATGAGAATATACATTTAAGGATCACCCCTGGGCGATGTGGGATGTTACAATCCACCCCCCTTAGGGGCCCGACGTCCTCGTCGGTACACACGCGGCTAGGGTTAGGCTCTGATACCAAATTGTCGTTAATGAGTTAATGAATTGCTGATTTAGAGTTTTAACAATTTAAGCAAGCATTGTACAAAGAAAAAGGCCCTTGCTAGTTGGTAGGGGCTCTAATCTCATAGGCAATTAGATTAAGAGCTAGTTGCAACTCGAAATTGCTCTCTTTTCCCCTCTGATTAAGACAACAATCAAGTAATTAATTAAGCTACATTCTAGACATGGAGAAATTAAGTGTGTTGAAAACACAACACGTTATACCAAGTATTATAATATAAGTGGTTAAATTTTTTTTGTTTCAATGTTTAACCACTTATATTATAATATTTGATGTACCAGACTGTTTTTCACACATTGAAAAATCTATATTGTTTATAAATATAAGTCACATTTTTCACGTGAATGCTAAAAAACAATTTTCTTGTTATTTTTTAAGTCTATTCAAAGGTGACAACCCCAATGATTTTACAGATTATTGCTTCTAGCGATGGGCAAAATAACCATGGGCTTGGGTAAC